GAACTCAGTGCACAATGTACTGTACAAAAGAACGGGCAACAATATTTTTGGCAAAATACTAATTGGGACGTATTACGTAAATTTGCGTAAACAGATATATGGGGAATGCTTATTTATGTCTGACATGAATTTACGCAGTTTGTAACTTAGCCAACTGCTCAATAAGTAGGCTTACAAAATGTGCACTGCAATACAAACCGCAAATATTTCATAACTGAGACTCTGTGTGTGCATTGTCACGCTTATTTCTGTGAACTCAATCGATTACTCGTTTGGAGAACGTGGAAAGTAAAAGCAAAGATCAGGGAATTGCGATTTCCCTCGCAACTACTAATGAATTTAAGGAGTAAATATAATTCATTCATAAATCATCGCAGCTTGCCGAAAGAGTAATCAATATTGATAAGCGTAAGCATGGTTCGAAAGCGGGAAAAGATTTTGCCCAGTCATTACTATTTTTAATGAAATCAAACGATAGGACTGTGAATACGGAATTAAATGAGTGTTGACCGGTAATATGGCCACTATCAGGTACCATTAATACAAAAGAGCATTTGCTTATGTTCCTGTTCCCGCTTCAAGAATCTGAAGAGTGGCAAACATTTTAACCCCACCTGTTTCCAAAAAAATCTTCAGCAGAAGAGAAGGATGCAAGTTAAGAAGGGTAGCGAAAAAAGGACTATTATTTGATGCCAATGAATAAGATAATCTTTGTAACGTCGACTGCAATTTTCAAATTCAGGGGAAAAATTAGATTGAATATTGTAAGTTCTATTCATTTTGATTCTTTTACAATCTTTTTGTTGCAAAACTTTATTCATCCGACTTCATAAACATGAAGTATTATCATCTCAATTTAAATATTAATGACACTGAAAAAACATAATCATACAAGGAAAGAACGATACAAAATTACAGTTAGCATATAAACATACAAGATTACAGTTGACATCTAATAATAAAAGATTACAGTAAAATGCAGTTTATACAACTTGCTAATTACATTACAACTAGATATAATACAAATAAAAGTGCTGCACATTATAAACTCTCAAAAATACAGGCTACTGGAACAGTAAAAATTTTTTGAAACAAATCCACGACACAAAAGCATGTTCTGGGTAGATTCCCCAAATGTAGTAAATGCGTATCATTAGTGAGCAGCAATGCATCCCAACTGGCGATTATCGACATTTCTCGCTTGAATTCCCAATAAAATTAATTGGAAATTAATACTGGGATGACACAAGGAAAGTTGCGCTCTGTAAAACATTAAAATATAGATTTCAGCCACAAATAAATGGAAGTAAATTAATAATAGAAGTTAGAACATAATATTTCTAAACCACAAGTGAAGGCTGCTTAATATGCTAGATCAAGTTTTTCACCATTATTTGACAAGATTTGAAACATGATGGCCTAATGAGGAATGTCAATTGCAGTCAAGCTCTCAGCTCAAAAAAATTTGAGTGCTTAATGTTTTATCGATGATATGCATATAAACCTACCAAGTAAAGAAAAATACAACGTCCACAAACGATGCAAAATGCTTGACATCATGTGGACGCCTCTCAAGTGTAATAAATTATAAATTATTTGAAGCGAAGCTCGTTAAGAATCCGCTGCTCACTCAACCGCAAGTTTTATGTACCACTAAGGTACTTTTAGACGTGTTCTCTCCACCCATTATATTAAATTACGCTGAAAAATAAGTTTCATACAGAATATTGTTAAGCAAAGATTCATATTTATTACAATGCCAGTTTCCCGAAGTATCCATTTTATTCATTTGCATTTGAATTTTTTTTCATCAACTCTAAAACTACGATGAAAATTTTTTGATCTGTAAGAGCACTAATAATTTAATAATCGCTAATTACTTATAAATTCCAAGAAGTCAATCTTCATTATGCTATTTATATACTTTCTATCATATTGCTCGCTCACCTTTGATTAATATTTAATAGTAACCAATAAAAAGTTCCCATACAGATCTGGTGCAAATATTGATGTCCATTTTCCAAGCTTTACACAGCAATCTTGTAAATGGAACCACACAAAATCAAGATGCTGTTCCGTTCGCAGAACGGAATTTCTGAAATTATTATACTTGATGTGGAAACCATATAACTGATAAAAATAAAGTTCTAAGGAATTAATTATCCAACTTACATTTTGAATGACTAAGAGCGGCGCTGCGACATATTTTGAATTTCGCCAAATATCACCATCAAAAATAGTGATTTAATTGCTCCATTTTAATTTTTTTCATGATAGAGCAACTTCTCCCCATTAATCAAATTATCTAAAACTTTTTGACTTTTTTATACTTTAGCCCTCAAGTTAGAAGACATTTTACAAGCATAAAATAATACCTACATAAAAATATTAAATAAAATACATTAACACTTAGTATAAATAGCAATACGTGAAATGAATACTTACGTTTATACGTTATCGGGGAGTATCACACTCATGGAGTCAGGAACCAAAACTACAACCCAAAGTATGTCACCAGCTGACACTCTGCTTATGCGTTACAATGCCGGTTGCACGAATATTATTGGCTAAGTGAGTCTCTATGTGAAATCCACGCCCATTATTCTTTATGATTTAAAAATGATGACGTGACTATTATTGATTTTTCAGAAGGTCAAAGAAAAAATTAAAGATTAAGTAGTTGCGAAATTAGTTCTCGTTCGATATGAAATTATTCATATACTTTTATAAAAATAGATGCGAGTGTTCGTTATTTACAATAGTTCATATTTCCAGATTGAGTATATTACTTTAATATTATATCTCATTGCAAAAGACACGTCAAAAAACTTCTTTATTCACTTTAACGTGACGTGTGCTAACAGTCTTACGATGAATACTAGACTAAGACCAAGTTTATTTAGTGTGGAGTGATAAGATTGATAAGAGTGTGATCAAAAATCAGCAATTTAGTTTATAAAATAATATAAAAAATAGCAAAATAGTAGTATTAGATTTGTAGATATCACTGTTTTCTTGTTCTCAATTAATTAATGTACAAGCAATCGTAAAGTTAGACTGTAAAAATAATTTTTACTTCTTTATGCAAATAATGCTAGTTTAGTATATTAACAAAGTGTAGCAAATTTTATTAAAATATTTTTTTGCTAATAAAAAATTTTGTATTTGAAATGAGTAATAATTTTGTACTTTACATATGAGACAACTTTTTTAATAATTGTTTTTGTATATGGCAATATGAAAACAAATATTTAATAAAATTTGCTATTGTATGCCATTTTTAAAATTTATTTAAGAAATTTTTTTGTTGTAAAATTTTTCAAAAATTAAGAACACTCGTCTGAGATATAAAATGTATGCTTTGTGTTACTAAACTGTTAATTATTAATACTGTAATAAAGTTAAGTAATTTAATAAGCACTTAATTCGTAATTTTTGATTTCTTTCAAGCGAACTACACGACAATTACTGGAATAGAAATATTAGAGAGAAGGTTTACACAAAACTAAAAACTTTTGTAAACTAACGAATCTGAAAAATAATTTTATTATTTGCCATTCAGTCAAACTAAAAAAATTCAAATTCTAAAATTGCCAAATTTATTTAATTTTACACTTTTATATGTCAAAATAATTGTTTTTCATGCATCAGATATAACAATTTGAAGACAATTTATTTTTATTGCAGAAAACATATGAAATAATCCTTAAAACGATCAAATAAGTAAAAAAAATTGAGATGGCAGAAGACGTGCTGAAATTTGTGCAAATAACTTGAAAGTACCTAAAATATATTATATAATCTAAAATCACGTCACGTAAAAAAGCCTAAAATTTTTAAAAGTTTACATAATACGAATTTAACGAAACTAAATTGCTTGTAAAATTTCCATAATAAAAATTTGTAAGATTTGTATTAGCAGAAAATGTCAGTGCAAAGTTCAGCAACTACTTGAATAAGCAATATCAATGATTACATTGATAATAAGAAGTAATATGTACCAAAAGTTCAATTGCTTCAGTATGCATAAGCGCAAAATAATTCATATAGACATTTGCTGTAAATACAAATGAGATTAAACTTGAAGTCAACAACAATAATTATAACATAAGTTTTAATACAACTAATATTTGTATGTGTACATCTGTGTGCCGTGAAATTATCTATTATCTAAGTAAGGTTTATAGCTAAATATCGTTTGTATTTTGCTTGCTGAACCATTTTGTAAGCATTTTAAGATTTCGATCGCGCCATATCTGAAATTTGCATAATTAATTTGAATATTGCAATAAAAGTATTTAAGTCTGTCTTCGTATTTTTAGGAAGAAATGGTCATAAAAAAACTGATTAATAAGTTTGTTCTAATAATTACAATTACTATTCAAAAAATTCGAAATAATAATTACATTTTACTACCAAAAATTTTTGCTCTTGATCACTGACGTTTCAAAAATAAATACTTTAATCATTGCCACAGGTCTGTTAATTTATATTTTATTATTTTTTAGTTAAAAGCATAAATCAACTTCAAAATTTATAAATATACTAAGTAATGACTCCTTTAGTTATTATAAAATTAGTTATTATGAAATTACTAATTAGTAATTCAAATTTGAATTACTAATTAGTAATTTGATCATGGAATCAGCTCTTTAAAGCTGTTGAAAGTTAAGTAGTAAGCAGTTGTACTTTATATATCATATCAATAATTGTAATCATGAATTGCTGTATTCAATAATTTAAGATTAATGAAAAAAAAGCAGTTTACTATAAATTTGGGCCTGATCTCATGTTTATTTTAAATATTTCTCTTACGATCATAGCTATATTTTAGTATGATCAATATTTTTTCTCTTTTTTTCAGTACTTTGATGTTTTTGATTCACTTGAAACAAAAATAAGGCGGGAAAAATTTTTATTTTCAAAATACTGATCAAAAAATTGAATTTGAAAAACTACTTAAAAACTTATTAAATTCTTTAAAAGATTTGTTTTAATAATCAAAATGAAAAGCGATTCAGTAAACCGACCTTAGCAGTTCTTCCTTCTTCCAATCGTTGTCCAAATACGTCCAATTTACTCGTATCCTTCCGATATTTTTTAATGAAAGTTTCGAGCTAAACAAATAATTTGAAATGAGTAAATTAATATAAATTTTCAAATATTACAATTATGATTTCTGCTATTTTAAAAAAGTAATCACTGTTTTAATCAATTTACAGTTGCTTATATAAAATCCCTGATCAAATAGCAGTAGGTCATTTAAAAAAATTGAATCAATGATCTAACACGAAAAATAAATCAAAGATAATAATTGATCTACAAACTTGACTAATTCGTCTTTCATTTGATATTAATGTTGAGCTGGATATTACTTTCCGTAAAAGAGTTTGCTGATCCTTCATGCTGAAAATTTTCTTTTCTCATAATTTTATTAATTTTGAAAATAGTCCGAATTTCTAAATTTAAATCAGATAAAGTACCGTTAATTAATGAGAATTCAAATACTGGAAAAATAATATTCTTAAATCTAATTTTTGAAAAAGTAACTTTTTACTTGCTTGTTAAATATTGTTAATTCAAAATACGCGCCTTTCTATAAATTTTTTTTGAATAACTTTTCTGAAACTGAGTTTTTAATTATAATTAAAAAAATAGAAATTGAAGAATTAAATTAAATTTTTGCCACTTACAAGTAAAAACTTACTCATTATGAATTTGAGCCCAATTATCTTGAAAATAATCAAAAATGATCAAACGTCCAACATCTCCAACCCCTACACTTGCAAACACAGTTGGTGTATCTTGTAATCGGATTGATGAATCGTTCAAATTTGAGGCTAACTTTAATAGTCTAAAATTTTTTTACTATTTAATAAATAAACTAAACGGGATTTGTTTAAGCCAAAAATCAATAAAAAGTATTCAATTAGCAAATTTAAATTCTGATAATTCAAATTTTCGTTTGTAACCAAGTTTACTTGTTGGGTGATATGTAGCTGAAAGCTTTTTTTGTTATAAATATAGATAAAAAGTTTTTTTTGCATAAATATAGATCAAAAATTTTTTAAATGTTTTTTTTTGATTACGAAAATTAATTATTTGATAACTTTGATAAAAGTTTTTTTCGGTAATTAATAGTAATTCGTTTAATTGATTTTTGAAATAAAAGTTACGTTTTGAGAGTAAATGAGTCACGAGAACACGTAAGAGCTCGTAACAAACGATTGCGTTCCACTTGAACTCGTTCATTTTTGTACAAATCAAACATTTTATTCCATACTCTTTCTGCACCCACTCTTACTCCTTCACAATATACTTGTAGACGAATGGGTACTGGAACTCTGTAACAAGAGTACCACACGTGATTTTTGTACGCTGTACGTGTGAAAGTTTTTACGTTTTTTAGCAACAGCTTACTATTTTTTGCAAAAAGCTAAATGAATTGAAAATAGTTTTAATTATAGCGAAAATGATGGTGTCAATCTGTTTTATATTTAATAAAAATAACACTTACAAGGACGATACAAAAATATTTACAGCCACTATATTAGCTATCAATAAATAATCATAAACTATAATTAAAAATAAATCTTAATAAAATCAATAATCATTAATAACTAATTAAAACAATCTGCAGTATATTGTTTATTGTTGATTAAAGTAAATTGACATCGAGACTAGCATCAGTCGTTTTCGTTGTAATCAAATTAAGACTATCGCAAGTATTTTTATTTTGAACTTTGACACAAGTAAACTTTGATCAATTTTAAGTAAATTTAGAAACAAAGTAACAAACTTGCTACATTCACTGCTCATTGCATGTTGATCTTGACATTCATCCATAAGCATTTTCTGGAATAACCCATACAATCTTTCTGTACAATTTATAGCCCGTAAATGATACATTTGTCCAATAATTTCATATTGTAATTCACTAAAATCAATTATTATTATTATTATCATTATTATTATTATTATCATTATCATTATTATTATTATGTTTATAAAATTGTAAATTAAATTTACTATTGCAATATTACTGCTAAAATGAAGTTAGCAAAAGAATAATGAGTACTTTTCAAAAAACATCGTTTCGTCTAAATATGAAGTTTCCAACGTTTTCCAGTCAATTCGATTATACATTGGACTAATCAGTGAATTCAAATAATCCTTCAAAAAATTATAATTTTCAATTATATACACAAATAACAGCAACTGTAAAATGAACAGTGATAATTACAAGCATGAATGAAAGTCAGCTGATTATTAATAAAGATTAATAATTATGAAAAAATGATAATGAATAATGCCTACAAATTGTTCTTGTAAAATAAAACTTTACTGTCTTAAAGTTAAGCTTTTACTTACGTGTTGAGATGAAGCTACTGTACTAAGCTTTCCATTGTATGTTGGGATAAAATTAGCATAATTTTGTAATGCTGCACTAAATTATTAAATTAAATAATATAGTTTTTATATTTATAAAGTGGATGAAATTAATAATAAACTGACTCTAACGTGTTGTGTTTCGGGTTCATCATTAAAATTTGAAACAATAGTACTGAAACCAATTAAAGCCATTCTCCATGGTAAAAATTCTTCCTCCATTGATAAATATTTTGTCAAATTTAGAGGAATTTCGTATGAAATAAAATTGCCTTCAGCAAGAGAAAAAGCGTCGTTTATTATTTGGGCACGTGAACGCACGTCAATTTGCTGAGAATCAAAAAAAGGAGTAGTCCTTTAAAATTTATAATTAATCTTTAAAAATTGATAAAATACTAATAATTCATTATGCTATATCCAAAAATTAAGTTATTAAAAAAGAAGTAGAATATATCTATCACATCTTCACATTTAATTTTAATATAAATGTAGTCTGTAAAATCCATCAAAAAAAAATCACCTTTGGATCAGTGTGTAATTTATCAATTATTTTTTGCCATAACTCCAAATTATAATTAACACGATAAAATCCTTTTGAACCGGAATTTAAAATTAGTAAATCATTTCGGCTTACATCCAGTTCTTGAGCTAAATTAATTTGAAATACACAAAATATGAATTAAAATGGAATTACACATGCGAAATTCAAAATTTATTTTAGAAAATGTGACAAAATTAACAGCATATTATTTTGCCGACGTAAATTTTGCTTCAATACTAAAATTGTTAATTAGTAATTTTAATTTAGTATCAATTTATGCAAAATCCAGCAATATAAGTTGAATTATTCTTTCGGCACACATTTAAAAAATTATAATAATAAGCTTTTTTCTGGATTTATCCTGTTATTATTACTGATTATTATAATCAATATTTAAAAATTTAATTTTTTAAATAATTTTGTGAAGTGTGATTTAAAAATATACATTCATGTAGCCAAGTCATTGGCATTTCTTGTCCATTTAATGAATACCAAATTGGAATATCATATTTATACCTGCAAAATTTAATAATATTAATAAAATATAGTATAAATTTTAATCTTAAAAATTTTAATTTTTATTACTTTTTTTTAACTTACCAAAATTTAGCATTGCGGAATTTTTTACGTTCAAGAGCATCCGCATCCCATTTAAAGCGTTTTTGACGTAAATCAATTTTGTTATCATCAATCCGGTATACTTCAACTATAGGATAACCCATCTATGAAAAGAAATTTTAATTATTAAAATAGAGTTTAATATTAATATTGATTTCTTTGACTTATTCATTTTAATAATTATAACATTTTTATCTAAAGTATTATGCAATAATTCATATTTGATAGAATTAGTAATGAAATCAAAAAATCAAAATTTATTTAAGTAACAAAATATTTTTGAGTAATTAATACCTGCTGAGTCCATTTAGAAGCAAAATCTCGAATATCAAGTCTTTCACCTTCCCACGAAAGTAAAGATTCTGGTACAACTTTATTTAGTGCACTCCATAAGTCATCATGATCAGCATTATTGTACTTATAGCTTTCTAAGTAATCCTGTAATTCAATCAACTTATGATTTTTTCTAAATTAAAAATATTATAGAAAAATATCAAATGGCATAGTTTAAAAAATATACAATTTATTCAAAATAACATTTTGTTTGAATAAATTTGAAAATAATCGTAAGTTTTCAAAAAAGCATTAAAGTTTTAGCAAAATATATAGTTTATTTTTTTTGGATAAATAATAATTTAGTTCATTACAATATAAAAATTATGAATTTAGCAAATTTGAAATATGGAAGAATTTTAAAAATAAATTTTGAATTATTATTTACAAAAAAAAAGAACATTATTTAATTACTATTCTTTTGAAGTTAAAATTTAAACATTTTACAGTTAAATTTTAAAAACTTACATTTAAACCTTTCTTGAAAACTTCTGATCCCATAACATGTTGAATCATATAAATTATTGCAGAACCCTGAAGTCATTCAATTTGTTTCTCAGTTGGAATCTAACTTTGTCAAAGATAACTCGTCATAATTTATAAATCTCTGTAATCATAACTTATCATATGCACTTGTATTTCAGCTTTTGTAACAAATTTGTAGGTATTTACCTTATCATAAGTAATAGAATCAAATGCTTCGCTAACATCCTCTGCTTTATCAATAGGAAATGATAAGGGATGGGAAGTTGCTTGTCCATCACGTCGATAAGCTAGTTGTACAGCGTCTTGCAAGAAATAATCAGTCTTAAATTAATATTATTTATTTTACAAATAAATAAATAAATAAATATAAATGCAAATATATTATGTATGTGATATTTGCATTATTAAAGCTAAAATTCAAGAAATTTACATATAAGTTTTTGTAAGCACTTAATAATGCAAATTAAATTATGATATTTTTGCTTAAGTATGGATTTTGTGCTTTTGATAATAAATTTTTAGCATGAAAAAGGATAAAATAAAAACTTTTATATGCAAAGTTTTCATACAAAATATACTTATTAAAATTATACTGCTTATGCAAATTTTTTCAACCGTAAAAAACATATTTGTCTTTTCGTGAAGTATACAATTGTAATTAATTTGAATAATTTATGCAAATTTTTATACTAAATTTATCAAATAAATCATTTTTACCATACGAAAGTGTCCTTTACTTATTGCGTCTGCTCCTAAATATTGCATAAATGTAGCAAAACCTTCGTTCAACCACAAATCATTCCACCATTTCATAGTTACCAAATTACCAAACCACTAAAATATTTAATCAAAAATGGAACAGTTACATGGCATAATTGAGAAGAAACAACAGTTAATTGAAATTCACGTAATACGTCAATTTTGCACACTTCAAAGATTGATCGCTTTGTTATTTAAATTGCTGGATAGTTATTTAAGGCAGCTTGTAAGAATGCTTATTAAATAATGAGCTATAATGAAATTAGAGTCAATTAAGTTTCATAACTAATAATCACTTTCTTAATATTATCAAATATTCAAATTCATGTTGTTTTTATGCAAGTTTAAACTTTGGCAAAAAAATAATAATGCAAATTAAATTATAAGTTAAGATTTGTTTTCAAAAAATTATTTTCCTAATAATTTTTGAGTAGTAAAAAAGACTGACCTGATGAGCTAGTTCATGAGCTACTACTAGAGCAACACTTGCTTTTTGATACGGTGAATACAGTCGCTCATCATACAGTAAATACTGTTCACGATATGTGATTAAGCCCCAATTTTCCATTGCTCCCGCGGCAAAATCTGGTAAAGCCATCATATCTGCAGATTAAGAGATATTGATTGATATTTTGAAAATTAAAAAAATCAGTATTGATTAATGAAGTTAGTTATTGATACATGTGCAATAACAAAATTAAAACTGCAATTTCACGACAATACATTTTGTTGATATTTTAATTTTAACCGGTAAATCATAAAAATTATGATTATTTTTTGACTTAGAATCTGAAATCATAAAAATTAATGAATGACTTAAAATTGATATTAATGAATTTAAAACTGAAGCTTTGAACAAACAACATAATTGATGACCTTGTTTTTTAAGTGGAAATGGAATGTTGTAATAATTTTCATAAAATTCTAAAGCTGCAATTCCAGCACGAAGTGCGTAAGCTGTCTGGTTTACAGCTTCTTCACGAGACCAAATTCGGAACTAAATAATTAACACTAATTAAATTAAATCTTTTTTTTGTTTTACGTAAAAATGAGAAATTTTGAAATTTAAACTTTAACATTTCCTCTTATTCGAAGCCAAAGTATAACTTTAAAATTGAAATTATTGATTGTAAACGTGTAAAATAAATTTTAAAAGAAATTACTCTCGTGCCCTTTTTTGTAATGCCTTCGATGAAAGCAAAATCCGTGATTGCTATAGCTAGCAAATACGATGACATTGGTGGCGATTCCATGAAGGAAGTAACTACCCAATCAGGATTATCCCTTAACAAAATTTTGAATTGAAATTTCAATTATTACTTTTTATTACTTTTGATCGAAAATCGATACGTAGGTTTAAAAATTTTCATTATTTAATTATTGACTATGTTTTTAAAATGACTGATATTAAATAAATTGTAAGAGCTATAAATTTTGATTTTAGCAAATATAACATTTTAATTTAAAAATTTATATGATTTTTTTCGTGAAAAATACAAATTTTACGAATTAATTAATATATGAAACTTATTAAAGAAAAAAGTTATAATATTTATTTACAATAAGTATACAAACTTTTGCTAAAAAATATCTTTGACTTTAATCTAAAATTTAATAACTGAATAAATTAAAAATTACGTGATGATTACTGCAATACAAATACGCAAATTTATTTTAATTGCTATTGTTTATACAATTATTTAAAATTCAAATATTTATTGCATTAAATTTTGGCAGAATTTTATTTTTATAAAAATATGACTAATAATTTTAATAATTCATAAAAATTACGTTTTTTCAGCATTTTTTAATTCTATTCCATTTGAAACAGCGAAAGTGCCTGCAGGATGAATGACCTTAATTCTCCAGACTGCTTTGAATTCAGGTTCATCAAAACAAGGAACCATTCGACGTGCATCTGTTGGTTCCATTTGTGTCACCGCTGCATACCTGAAATTACAATAAAAAATTAATAATTCCAATAAAACTGTAGAAAAACATGTTATCTGTTTCAAAATGTGATTTCTGCAATATATATTTAACTGATCATGAGATTGTTTAAGACATTTCAAGATCATATGTGGTCAGGAGGATTTTCGAAAGTAGAGATATCTTCAGATTACTTATACTATATATATACGTATAGTAATCTCAGAAATATATAATTAACTGAAAAACTTATAATTGTCTAAAAATATTTAGGAAGTTTAATCAAGTACAAATCAAATGATCCAAGATTTGATAATATGTTTCAACCTTGTTCGTTCATGATTGTCCTGATATCGATTCAAGTATAATCCAGCAAGTTTCAGATCAATTGGACCTGTATATGGCATCTAAAAATAGCATTAAATAAATGCGAAATTCAAATTCAACAGAATTTAAAAAGTATTCTGAAAAATTAAAAAAAAACGTAGAACTTACTTGTATGTAATATTGTTCATTTGCATTAAGCGAACCACTGAGATACATTGTTATCATTTCCAATGTTTCGTTGATTACAATTTCTCTTACCTGAAATTAGCATAATTTTTTTTCGTAACTTTAAAATTTAATTTTGTCATTTTTGAAATTAAAAAAAGTTTATCAGTGTAACTTAAGTCTATTACACGTTTACACTTTGACCTGAATATTTAAAAAGTTAACAATATAGGTAAAGTTTTATTGTAATAAAGTGATTAATCAACTGTCAATTCTGTGTGCTCTAAAATAGTTACATACAAAATTTTAATCATAAAATAATATTAATAATAATTTGTTTACTACAAGTTTAAACTATGACCTGAACATTAGCTATTGTTTTTGTACTAATTGGTTGTTGTTTTTTAGTTTCATTTGGCCGATCAAAGTTTTCTGTTTTAGAAGTAAATGCTAAATTATGCATATCACTTTCAGTAGCGGTCATTTGATCCATTTCAAAATTTTCATCCTAAAAAAATTAACGATTTTAATACACAAAAATTTTATACAAAATATTTATTAAACTTTTATTCACTTTAAAAACTTTTTAATTTAATTCGTCAAATAAATTATTTTAATACGTCAATATATAATTCAACTTTTTATTTTACTGTACAAAATTAACAGATATCAACATTCTTTCCGAAATGAAAATTCACTATTAAAAGATTGAAATATTAGGATGTATTTTTTGTTGTCATTTCAATTAATGCAAAAATATTTTTCATAAAAGTATACGTATTTTCTTAAAAAAATATCATTTATCAGTAAAAAAATTATCAGAGATTAAGGTAGATTCTTTTAATCTTCGAAAAAATATCAATTGAATATTCAAATATGGTACTGATCAGGAGGAACATATTGTTATGGTACTGATCAGGAGGAACATACTGTTATGGTACTGATCATGAGGAACATACTGTTATGGTACTGATCAGGAGGAACATATTGTTTAAAATCTTTAAAGTCAAAAAATTTTTTTTGTATTTTTTTAAATTGTGATAGTTTTAGGAAAATAAATACATCTTCAAAGAAATCATCGGTAGTTGTGTTTTCTGAATTTCGACGTATTCTTGAAATCTGAAAATGATTCAGCACAATTATTTGATTACTATGCAGACAACTTTTTAAAGGATGAAAAATAAGTTTAAATGATTCAGAAAATAAAAAGATTAATTGATAATTTTAAAATTTCAGAATTTTTTTTATTATTTGAAATACTTTTTTTTAGATTTCAATTAGTCCACTTTTATATTCTCTAGTAATATTCATACATATCCATTTTATTGCACTAACTTCATAAATATACAATTACTATTTGTATGTCAATACATTACTAAATAAATGTATTGTTGTTATTACAGTTTATTAAAATTACCATATATATTTTTGAAAAGATTTTTAAAAATTTTTTTTAATTAGATTAAAATGCGTAATTTATTAAATATCAAATGTTAAGTACTTTTTCAATAAAAAATAAATCAAAAAATGTTCATATTTCAAGTAGATAATTAGTATAAAAGCAATACTTTATTACCATGTACTGTACAAATTTGTAACTTACTGTTTTTGCTTGAGCAACTGTATCTTGTAAAATTTTGATCTTTTCTAAATCATCAGGAAAATTCAGTTTCAGTGCATTGAGAACAATTCTATCCGTTGATTCATCTACTCGAAATTTGATAATAAGTGCGGCTTCGAAGGTCAAATTCTTGTTTGCAGGAATTTCTACATAACCAGGCAAGTATGCTTTTAATGTCAAATTATACCTATCAAAATAGTTTTATTAATTTTATTAATTTAATCAAATATTTTTTATAATTTTTTTGTTTTTCAAAAAAAAACTCTTTTTGAAAAAAAAAAATTTTTTTTTTGATCTAATCTATTTTGCATAAACTTATTACTCTTTACGAGTATGAACTTTTTTGACCTTTTATTTAGTACCTAAATAATAATTTATTAGTACAATAACTTATATAAAAAATAAGTAATATCACTTTAGTGATCATTACTTTCAGATTAATTTGAGTTACTTTTTTACAATTTTTTGCTTTTTATTTTCAGATGTTTTCATGATATTTTCATTTTTCAAAAACTTTTTTTAGGGAAAAAAATTCGAAAAATTACATTATTTCAGAACAAATAGCTGAAATTACTTTAGGAAAATTGTAAATCCTTCAAAATTACTTTAACTTTCAGCATATAAATTAATCATACTTTAACATTTTACACTCAGACTTGACTTATTATACTTAACTTTAATCTAATTGAAAAGGAATATAACGAAGTAAATATTTGCTTAATTATCACATAAAAACAATAACCATATAGGTATAATAGATTTTGGTAGTCGTAATTCAGCAGCAGAAGGACCCGTAGAATCTTCCTCAATCATAAATTCATCCATAGTTGAATTCACTCTGAATGAACTAAGTTTTCAAATACCTTAGTATTCTATAAGTTCATAACATGTTTGACATAAATTCAAATTATAATTAGACTATTTGGTTAATTTTCAAATCATTAATTATTCACAATTTTAAAGGTCCAATTTAAAATCAAATTTAATAATTAAAATTTTTTACTGAATATTTTTTTCTTAATTACATGAACATTTACTGATACTTACCAATTATTCTATTACATTTTTCATGTTTCAAATTTATAAAAGTTTCAGTACTCAAAATTACTTCCAACTCCACTTTTCCAATAATAATAAAGTTATATTATTTAAAATTAAAAACTTGAAAGTTCAAAAGAAAGTACAAAAAAAATAAAGCTTATTTTACTGAAACTTTTTAAAATTTTAATTTTCAAAATAAAAACTACAAATTAAAAAAAATAAATAATTTCTATTTTTTAATTTTAAAAAATTATAGAATAACCAAATATATAGAAATTATAGAATAACCAAATAGTCTAATTATAATTTGAATTTATGTCAAACATGTCATAAACTTATAGAATACTAAGGTATAAATAATCAACATAAAATATATTCTATAATAAAACTAAGATACTGACAGTGCGCTTTGCTCTTCGATAAATGGCCTGATCTGAATTGACCGATCATATGCTTCTTTCGTTAGCCAGTAGGTGATAAACGATGATAAGATCATCGATATCAGCGCTATCAAAAATAAAAAACAAGCTGTTGATTTTGTACACGTAACATTTTTCGATGTTTTCTTCATTGGTGCTATACCATTTTTTTCTAACGGTAAAACCGAACTTGAATCCTTCAAAATAAATATTATTTAAAGTTGTAGCAAATTTTTACATTTTTCACTTTTTCTAAACAATACAAATAAAATAAACATACTTAGAATGAAGTTTACCTTTGGGATAAAGTTAAACTAATTGAGAAAAATAAAAGTATAAAAATATTGCTGCTTAGATGTCATTTGATATTTTTCAGAATACATTTGTTATTTTTTCTGCACTACTATTTCTATGAAAAATGCAATCAGAATGTAATAATATTTTGTTTTTTGACCCTAAAAAACACAAATAGAAAAATTCAAACTATCAAATTTATTGAATTTAAATAATCAAAAATTATTAGCATTTCTTATTACAATTGCTATTGAAAGCAAGCAAGTACTGTTTTATTTTCAAATTTAATCACATATTAAAATTTGTGTTTTGCAAAATAATATCATATGTATATGCTTAATTTTTATAATTATTAGCTTGTATTGATTTTTCTTGCTTAATTTTTGTATTTATAAGTTAATTAACAAAAAAATTTATAAATTATTAACAAGCTTACAACAACTTTGTTATGCGCTTCCGTCATGGCAATGAGGCCATGCTGATCACTGAGATCAACTTCCTCCAGTTTGTTGCTTTTTTCCTCCAGCTTTTCTTCTTTACAAATATCCTTAACTTTTCTGCAAAAAATTTGCATATTTAAAAAAATCTAAAAATTCATTTTTATGCATAACTGTAAGACGAGAAATTTTCGGTATACAAATTTAAAAAAAAGAAAAGATATAATGAATACGCTAATATATTTAATATTGGATAAGCAAATCAAAAAGATTAAACTTTAAATAGACAAAAAAAGTTACATTTTCCATTTACATAAAAATAAAATTTGAATTGTGAATAGATTTGGTAGTTCACATGAATCAAAATATCATTCGTTTTTATGAACTGAATTTTGTCTAAAAATCAAAAATTGCTAATAACTTATTAAAATATATAAAACTGTTTAATACTCAAATTTAAAACTTTAATACTCAAATTAAC